TTACAAACACTTGGCATTTCTATGGGTACATCTAAACTCTACAGAATCCGGTTTTCTATTTCTGTGCATACATTTTAAAATACTTTACGGTATTGTCTTGCAAATCTGTAAAATGGACCCCTAAATCTGACCTAACTCTACCTTGTACAGGGACATCACTAATCAGCAACATATTTTCACATTAGTTCATTGAAAAATCCTCCTGTATGATGCCAGTGCAACTGGAAGTGATGATGATGCAAGTGAAGAAGCGGAACGGGAGGAAGATACAGGAGAAGGGCAGGAAGAGGAGGAGGAAAAGTCGAATACCAAGGATGAAGAGGGAATTGGCAACAATTAGGTAGGTATCAGCTTCTAGCCTTCAAGCATGCGTGTCATTACATGAACTTTCTAGTACACAAGCCACTTTACAAAAGCTGGCAAATTCACTTAGTTATGCACACACTCTCTACAGGCGTTGGCTCCGTTTGTAGAATAAAGGTGTGTTGTCTGTATTGCCAAACGATGCTCAGGACGACTGCATGGACTGGACTGTCACTCACTGTGATTGTAGCGAATGCCCAGCACACGACTTTACATAAACGTCGGCGCGAGAACTTCGAGTAGCGGAAGAAGATTGATGACTGGAGATCCAAGTGGCAGGCGCAGAGGCCGAGCATTGTTGACTCCCGTTTGCATTGCTGCGCCTCCTTCAAAGACGAAGAAGCTCATAATATTATATTCACTGATACAGTCCGCAATCAAGTCCACACAAAACACACACACACACATACACCCAACATGAAGCTCTTTCCCTCTCTCATCCTGGTTGCCATCTGCTTGCACCATTGCATGCAACAAGTAGTTGCGGAAGAACCCGCTAGTACTAGTAGCACAAGAACGAGCCTCCGTGGTGGTGGAACTATTACAAGAAATCACCAAGAGAGCACCAACGCGCCTCCTCCCACAGAAAACCTCCAAGAAGAAGAGAGCACGCCTCCTCCTCCAGCAGTAGTCCATCAAGGAGACCAGCTCACATTGACACGAGATGCCAAGCGTGTCGTTGGTCTCGACAATCAAGGCCCGTATTTGGGCATCAACTACATTGTGGCCACGCAAGGTACCTTCCCGGCATACGCTGGAGGACGCCAATCCAGTGGCCCCATGTTGGGAGAGATTCGCATGTTTGCGGGTAACTTTGCCCCGGCGGGGTGGGCCTTTTGCAACGGTCAAGTGCTGTCCATCCAAAGCAATTCCGCACTCTTTGCCATCTTGGGGTCGATCTACGGAGGCGATGGACGCAACACATTTGCGTTGCCCGATTTCCGGGGGAGATCTTCGGTTCATGTGGATTCGAACCACAGATTGGGGTTCGCCGGTGGAGTCCAAACGCATGTGCTGGCTAATGAGCACCTGCCAAAACGCACCGAGTACACGGTCGAATCTGTGGTTTGAACCAGAGGAATAACTCGATATAGATAGATGATTGGCTGAGCTTGCTAACGTAGGTAGAGGTAACCGAGGAAGTAGCCGACAAGCACAGCATAAGGTGCATGTAAGCGTATAGATGAGGGCTTCGAACCGAATATACTTTTCGTAGCCGTGCCTCCCTCATAGTTTCTTTTGCTAGCTAGCAGATGGCGACCCAGCCACCATCACTAAATAAGGGTCAAAAGGAGTGGGCTGAGCTGCTCTGGCTATCTCGTAGGCAGAGTTGGACCCGTGATGATGGCAGGTATGTAGAGGCGGTTGGAGGGACACTGATCCATCGCATTGCACGTTTGGTGCCTGGGCAACTTCTGAGAATGAAATTCGGCAGGCGGGTAATACGGTAAAAGTACGGGGGTATGGGGCAACTTGGAGACTGCATCATACTAGTAATGTTAATGACGTGGTTTTAGATCTATTTTTGTTGCCCCATATCCCGTACATGACATACGGTACCGGTACGCCCGGGGCACCAAACCCAGGCATCTCAAAGTCCCCGACAGCCGCAACCCAGCCTCGCCGTGATCCACCCTCAAGAAAAATGAGACCACTCTCACTAAACAGCCAACAAAACATGACAACATCAACAACAAGCAACAAAGGGGACTTTGAATACCACCATATCCTGGAACTGCAGCTGACGGCGGTCAACCTGGAGCATCCGTCCTTGGGGCTGCGAGGGCTGTTCCAAAGCCATAAGCCGCTGAACCCGACCTACAAGTTATTTGCGTTTCGTCCCTCTGCAGCAGATCAGGAGACTTCATCGGATGCCAAATCTTCATACCATATAGTCTTCAGGTCTGAGACCATCCGGGACACCCACAACCCAGTCTGGAACAAACATGAATTGGATCTGGAGCTATTGGTGTCTGATTCTATGTCAATGGCAGGGTTTGACATGTTCACCCCTGTGAAGATTGAAGTGTACGACAAGAACATGGATGACGGGGAAGAAATACTGATAGGGGAATGTGAGACTACGCTCTTTGACTTGGACGGCTTCAATGATGCGGTAATGCACGGTGATGCGGGCGGCAACAGCTCTTTCGCGACGTGCTTTTCCGTCAAGGACAGTTGGGGCAAGCCCATGGGGTCTCTTCTCCCTTTGCATGCACGCATAAGAAAAGAACAAGTCCCTCTACCGGCTGGAGAGATCCAGGTTCCACTCAAGACAAGAAAGATGCGTAGAATGCCAATGCCAACCAGGAAGGGCTGGGTGGAAGACGACTCGGTTACAGTTGATTCCTCCACCACTGTTTCAACCATGGCGAGTCTGCAGTCAGAGACATCCAACCTACGAGCTGAAAACGAACACTTGAAGGACAGAGTGGCCCTGCTGGAGGCCGGCCTTACGGAACAAAAGGCAGAAGCCGAGCTGGCGGGCAGCTTGGCCGTGAGTCTCGAGGAATTGAGGCAAGAACTACATTCCCTCAAGGCTGCTTATAAGGATCTTCGGGCGCAGCAGGAGCAGAGTGTCAAGCGCAGCAGCGGCAAAAGCAGACGAGTTGAGAAGAATGAGAAAGAGGGTGGCAGTAGGAAGAAAAGAGATGGCAGCAAGTGCAACAAGCCAAAGAAAATCAACAAGGGGATCCCAAGCCCTGAGTGCCAAGAGGTTGTAGCAGCCGCAAGAGCCAGGAGTGAAAGCTGGGTATCCTTTGAGGAGGCTTGGGATGAAAATGCCGGAACTGCACCTGTTGAGGTTGAGACAAAGAAGGACAACAAGGTCAAGGCAAAGAAGGACACGAAGCAGAAGGGTAAGGATCGTGTGGTTCAAGAAATCCACGAAATCCTGGCAATTACCATGTCAAAACAGCAAGATAAGATTCCTCTCGTGATGGAACAATTCAAAGGACGAGAAAAGGACTTCCTGAAGAGGCTGCAACGTTCCCAGCGCAAAGGAATCGAATCGGCTCATCACCAAAAATAGAGGCTAGCCAGACGCATCTCATGGAAATAGAGAAGATAACTATTTGTACCATTCAATAAAACCAGCTGCAGCTTTCACCCTGCGACGCTACCGGTACCGGCACTGCTTGCTATTTTTTAATACTGTCCACTCTCTGATTGGCCAGGGTTGACTTGACTGTCACTCGACTCGTTTGAAGTGCCGGTTGTGGTGTGCTGCGGCCTTGCCGTATGTCCGCACCTCGCTGGCGGCCAGGTCGTCTTTGACGTCGATCAACTGCGCTAGTTGGTTTGCAGCCGTTCCGCGAAGCTGTTTCCATCACGCATTTACGCACCTCTGCAATACTTTGTACAGGAGGAGCGAAGAAATCCTCTTTTGAGAGAGGCGAAGGGAGGAGAATGGATTTGCCTCCATCTGCTTGGTCGTACCTGGTACTGCTGCTCGTTCCTAACTATCAACCTTAGTACGATGTACAGCGAAAGTGTGCGAGCTGAGGGGTCTCTGCTCTACGGTAAGACTGGATCCCAAGACATAAAACAAGTTGGGCCTCTCCAAAAATGCGTTGAAGGTGGCCACTACTACAGCCTTCCTTCGGATTGCACTCTCACCGTAGATCCGTATTAGCACTCTCACCGCACCGCGTTCAGATCAAAGTAAGCACCTACTAGTACATACCGGCAGGCAAAGCCTGTCTCTTCTTCCCTCCGTTATGAGTACTCGTAGCACCGAAGGGAGCAATACGCTAGCTGTCGTGGCAGTCGCAATAACAGATAGTTCCCAAGTCGTCCAAGGCCTATTTCTATGCTTACCTAGAGCTAGCTATAGTTGCCAGGCGATTTAAGGCGCCATTTCGATGGTCTTTTTCTCTCCTCCTCTTCTCCTCACCCTCACAAAACTCCTTTGACATCTGCACAAACTAGCTAGGTATCATCAAAATCACTGCACTGTTCGAGACATCAAAATGGCAAGTTCTGAATCTCAATTGGCCAAGGCAACTCGCCGCTCCATACAGAAGCTATATCCAATCCCCACAGGCGCTATCATGTCTCGTGGGACGAACCCTCTCACTGTTCACTGCGTCGACGATTGTGTCTTTGCTGGGGTTTGGTCTTTGATTTATGAAACCATGTTTGTCAGGACTGCATTGAGCAGGGAGACCAAGGAGTCTATCGCGACACTTGTCGTCGATCAAACTGGCCACCCGCTCTCCGTCGACCAAAAGGAAGCGTTGAAAGACCCACCGACAAGGCTGTCCAGCCAGGTCGCCAAGAAGGAGCGAAACGTCCATATCAGAGCCATGGCCCATGCCGGGAATCTCTTGAGGGCGATGGTAAACCTGAAGGCGGACGACGACTCGTCCACGGTGGCTTCCTCTAATACTTGTACCGAAAGCAGTAGAAGTGGGAAATCTGAATCAAGGAACGGTGAGCGGGTAAGCAGTCACACGGAAATGGCCAGGGCAGAAGCAGCCCTTGTGATTGTTCTCTTCACCCACTTGAACCGTGTTTCAAACGCCCTCCTTGGTGAGGAAGTGCACCCTGAGCTGTTCTCGGGGCAGGCGCCTGCAGGAGGCGGTTTCGCCAATAGGTTGACCTCCTTCTTTTTGGCTCGCACGGGATGCACCAACCGGACCAAATACGAAGCTGGCATGACTACATCTCTCCACGCTGAGGAAGTCGTTGCGTCGTTTTCACCTTTACCTCAAAACCTTGTCGGCGTTCTGTTGTCAGGCCATGAACGTGCCATTGCGTTGGCGCGCATGTGTGACTGGGAGTCTACTTTCCGGAAAGAGACCCTTATCAAGCGAAGCATCATGTCGAAGAGACTACTCAACTTCTTGGAGTATCCCTCCACAAGGCCGCCCTCTCACCGCTTTTCCTCTGCTGAGAGTGTCGTCGATTGGGTAGACACTGCTTTGCAAGACAAGTTGGATTCCATGAGATACTTGAGCGAGACGAACAAGGCCATTGGAAAGATCCTCGTTTTGACCACGTACGCTCCAAAAATGGTCCCCCATAGCATCCATTGGCGTAGGCTTGTTGACTGCGTAGGTGAATCCATGGCCAGATCCATTGTGGTCTGGTGGTCCTTGCGCTCTGCTCTCCGTGACGCTAAAGGTCTTGACAGGGAAATCGACGCCAAAACGATGCTCCAAGTCTTGAGTCAGTAGAAGACTGCCCGAAATTGTACTGGACATAACTAGCTAATAGTAAGGCCTTCACATTATTCTCACATGGTCTTGTGTACACTTACTTAATAAACTGAACGGAGGCAGGAGGCATGTAAGACGTCGCTGAAGCTGGCTCGTGTTGAGTTCATGGCGCCCTTATAGCAGCGTGTCAGACGTACCTGGTTCCAGACTACATACCAGGTACAACTTTTTTGGATAGTCTAGGCAACAGCTTGAGAGGTTTGACATAATATTGTGTCTCTACAGAGTTCAATTTTTGTTAACTTTTAAATTACTTCTTATACAAGTGCAGTGACTGAGTCGAGTCGGTCAACCATTTAGTCTATCGTCTGGCAGCGTAGCGGTTTCCTTTAGCAAATTGAGTCAGCATTTTTCCCCATTCTTCTTTGCTCTCGGCTTCTTTATCACACACGATGCAGTTCCCTCTATAATAATTGCATCCAATGTGGCCACAGGGGAGTACTTGATCTTCATGGCGGACGCTGAAGATGTCCATCTCCATACTTTCACTAAAGGAATCCGCGATTTGGCCACAGCAAGGTTTGAGTCTATGATCTCTACTGCTGCTGCTGATGGAACCGACGCTGTCCGTACTCTTGGTGGAGGAGTTGCTGCAATCCAGACAGAAGAGCTCATCGGTTTGAGTTTTCAGGTTGTTCATTCCGGTGAAGGTTGCCATTGTTTCGTTGTTGTTTTTGTTGGATTTGATGAGGTTTGTATTTAGTTTGTGTTGTCGTCGTTATTGCTGTCCTTTGAGGCTGTATTGTGAGAAGAAGGACGCGAAGAGCGGAGAGGGTGAGGCGAAGAAGCAAGTGAGTTGCCAGTAACAAGTAACCAGCTTGAACCACGACATAATTAATTAAGCGGGTCTCGGCTTTCTGGAAAGATCCGGTCACACTTCACCTGATTAAGTAAGTGATCCATCGACTCCCACGCTTCTAATGTGCCCTGTTGCCCTGTTTCTGGCAGCTGAAGCTAGCTGTCGTGCATTCTGAAACCATTCGTAGTCTCTTTTTAACAAGGTAAACATTCAGGAAAACAGTTAGTTATTAGAGCCGCAGCGGTCCTGTGCTGACAAAGCAATTGGATCCGCACCTTCGCAACCGCACCAGACTAGATTCTAACGACTGTCACTCCATCCTTTGCTATTTTGCAGAGTTTCTACTATCTAATACCATGGTACCAGTATTGTTTTGCTTCAAGAGGGGTTTGATAGGAGTCGAGTCTTGCTCGTTGCACAATCTACAGTAGGTAGATTGATTCCCAAGCAAGTTAGCTACGAATAGCTCAAAAGAAGTACTTCAATACCGCACCCCACCTGCCAACACATGCCGATACTTGCTGGATACGGTACCCCACCAAGCAAGTGGATGGATTGAAGCACACTGAATGTTTCCGGCTACAGGAAGCATCCTGTTGCCTCCTGATCCTCCATCCAGTCAAACTTGGATTTGCGGCTTTGGATTTGCTTGACAACTTGAGTCATGCTTTCTCAATTTCCGAATGAATGGATCAACTGTGAGTCCTTGTGATGGATCCGGAACACAATTACTATGGCCCAAAGTGGACTATGGAAAACAGTCCGTTGCAGCGAGCCACACCCAGTCGGTTGGACGAATGTTCCCCAAAAGGCATTGTGTGATTAGACGAAATCGTTCGCCCGTCACTGTTTCATGAGATAACAGTAAAAAACGATCCACATGGTTTCGCGGAGATAATAACAGTAATTCTGCAATTGCTGATGGCTAGTCATTGGTGCTGTCTGTCTTCACACTTTTCTTCTTCTATTCTGCCAAGGACAACTCTTGTTCTTGCACTCTACTACAGACAGTCTAGATACCCACGTACTGTACCCTAGCTAGTCTTCTATCACCTCTTGCACTGTCATCCATCAATAGCTACTAGCGCTCTCTCGTCTCTGCTATCCTGTCAGAACAAAAGAGCCACTATCCATCCATCAATTGAAAAGAAGCAATCGGTAGAAGAATAACTGCAAAATACAATAAATACTGTACCATGGCCGACGTGCTGGTGGACCTTGCCAAACTGCTGACGACGACGACGACGTTGATTTTCTCGGACTGCTCGCCTGTTGTATCCCAAGAGAAACTCGACGGGTCAATGCTGATCAAGCAACGCGCCACAGCCATGAGACATCATGTGGCGTATCATGCTCGGAAACGACGCTATTGGGTCAATGGGGCTTTGCTCATGATGTTTATTTACATGTTCTTTATTTGGGTAGCCACACGGAATATATCTACGATTGCCAATGCGAGTAGTGAAGTGGATGGGACGTTTGAATTTGTAGAAGAAAATGAAGCCTTGGAAGATAACATGGCACTGCAAGTTCCCAAGACGAGTCGATGTGCTATCAATTTCTTTGGACTGCCGCGATCGTTTGAGAGTATGGTACTGCCGTCCATGACACGCAATGTCTTTCGACGAAATGCCCGGTTTGGATGCGACTATTTCATTCATTACTATCATCGAGAAGAAGAATCCAGTGGTCGGGCGGGACAAGGAGGGACCATCAATCCAGATGAAGTGCTACTCATGAAACAGAGAATACTCAATGCGGCCAAGAATGCCAAGAGCACTCCCAATCGACATCCTGCCGTCATTTTTGTCAAGGATACCGAAGAGGAATTCTGGGAAAAGCGGGGGAAACTGGTAGAAAAGTACAGAACTACCACGGCATCCGATGGAAACTACCTATACTATCCATGGAAGGCAAAGACATATCACTACCCAGAATCATTGGACAATATCGTCAAGCAATGGTAAGACTCATCTCTCATCACTTGATCTACTCATACTCGATTGATTCTCTATTCATTCATCTAACCCTACCTATCTTTCTTGTTTTATAGGCACAGCATTCAGTCTGTCTGGGAAGCCATGGAGGAATACACTCGTCTCACGGGACAACCCAAATACGATCGCGTCGCCATGATGCGTCTCGATGTACTCTACGCACTCCCCGTCGACATTTTCAAAACCGACAAGGGATCCGTCGATCGACAAAACAAATACGCCGTCAGTCCGGGATTTGCCAAATACCCCGTCAACGATCGACTCTTTTATGGACCCTACGATGCCGTCAAGATTTGGGCCACGGAACGATTCTCGCGACTCGATGATCACGTACACAATTACGAACCCGGATGGGGTATGCACAGTGAACGATTCCTGGAAAGTGCCATTTTTACCGCCATTGAAAAGACGGGAATTCCCATGACGGAAAATCCCGATATTTGTGTCATGCGAGTCCGCGCCGATCAATCGGTTTGGATGAATGATTGTATTACCATGGCGGGAACGACGCGAGGGATGAAACGAATTGCGCGACAAAAGTTGATTGAAAAGATTCTAGGCCGGCCGTGTGTCAAGAGTAAACTCCGGTATGCTGTATACCAACTGCATTGTCCGACCGGTTCCATTGATCAATAAGGCTTGCATTTGCATAACATTCCATTCATTCATTCATCAATTCACAAACAAAAACAACAAAAACAAACGTTGCCCCGTGGATGATCGTCCTCGCCGAAAGACAGTCAGTCAGTTCATCATTACTCATCGTTTTGGGGGTCGGAAATAATGGACAAAAAGGTTAGGTACTGGCGAGAGAGAGGACGCGAGGGACGCTTCATGCAATGAAACCGTCGTTGAACGGGCGAGACCGCGGTGCACACGTATCTTGTAACATAGACGCATAATGTTCAAACACTCAAAATCTTTCATGGTTATTGTTTGGCCGAGTACGCGAAAGATCGATTGTAGACCAACGCAGCGTAGCTTGGCTTTCGTCTCGACGTATCATACCGTCCTGTACGATACCGAGACCAGTCACTCGCTGGACTCTGGTGTCCGTTATCTATAGCTAGCGAGCCCGCTTGGAAGCAACTGTCATCTTGAATTGAATTCACCTGTTCCAACTCCGCGAACTCGGTCGCTCACTATATCTCTACTAGCTAGACGACACGTTGTTCAATGCCGTCATTGCCAACGTTCACCTGTACCGTTAGAGCACGAGGCGTGTACGGACTATGCACCAGCCCCAAGCAGCTTTACCAACGGTGCTACCGTGACATTCTCCTGCACATGGAACTCACTCCATGCAAAAAGGATCCTTGCTGCTTTTTGGGACCTAATGCCCTTCTGTGTAGCAGCTTTGTGGATGACTGCTCCTACTGGGCCAAGAGCAATAAGACCATGGCCTGGTTTGAGGCTGAATTGCAGAACCAACTCAAGCTACTTGACATCTTGCAAGATTCTTCTTATGCATTTACTAATAATTCTACATGTATTAGACAGGACTCCTGTATAATACATGTTCCATCCATGGAACAAGACATCAGGCACAAACTGATACAGTGCAAGGAGGAAGTTGAAGATAGCCTACAAATGGCAGAAGACGTGAATTCAAGGCCAGACACCACCTTCCAAAGTCTGCCTTCAGGCATCTCTGAGTCCACTGTTGATGATGGACAAAGTCATGAGGAATGGTTGCGTTATATTGCGACTGCCAGTTAGTAGAAAGTAGTTTGGTTTACAACTTTGCTTAGATTTGAATTGTGAGATTAGGTTGGCTATCTAGTTTCTTCTTTGGTTCAAACCTGCACATTGCTCCTCCTGGATCAGGTGCCTTCAGTGGGAATCCTTTATCTTCTGTAGCAGTCAATCCCATAGTGGATGTTGGGACTGAATCAGCTTCTACTACAGTGGTGGATCTGAGACTGACACTAGCATCATCACAGATGCCCTAGGAAAGGGCCAGCTCCCGAACAGGATTCTCCCGCATCCGACGAGGAATATGATTTTGCCTCGGAGGGGAACACTAGTGCCGGTGGTAAGTCTATCTGGTGGGATTCCACTGTGTATGTTGTCGTAACAGACCGCACAGTATAACCCATGTGTGTTTCGGATCTTCCATCAATAAAGACTACATGCGGCGGTACTGGTGCAAAGATAAATTCACCCAGCCATTCAAGCCCTCCCAGAACCGTGCTGAATTCGGAATTGGGGTGTGCAAGGGGAGTGTAACCAAGATGATGATCACAACGGGTTGCGCACCCCAAGCCTGGGCAAAGGCCATTCAACACGCTGCAGATTTAGACAGAAACACTGCAAAGGAATGTCTGGAATGGAGGACACCCATTGAAAAACTTACTGGCCAGACCCCAGGCATCTCCAACCTCATCAAGTTCAAGTTCTGGGAGGTAGATTTGTACCATGAACCTACCCACAAGTTCCCTGGAAAAGCAGTTGGTGGAAATGAGAGGCTTGGAAGATGGTTAGGGAGACCATGCACCTGGGCGTAGACGACGATGATGAGATAGACTTAACCAACGATGCTAGCGTGCCAACTGAAATTCCAATTGAACGTTCCAGTCTGCCCCGTTTGGAGTCCGGTTCACTGTTCCCATCCTCGGTGCTCTGCCATCCGATACCTTGGCAGAAACTGTTTCGCCGTACACCACACTAGCTAGAGCTAGCACACGGCAGCAAAGTCCTGATTGCACAGCTCCAGAGGGACTTTTAAAAGTTGGATATGGGGTTCGTCCATAAGGCTATGGGTACCTGGTACGTTGTCACGAGAGGGGCGGTCACAGTTGGGAAAAACGTCACACACATGCCAAGTGACGCACACTTTCGCTCTTTTTAATTAAGTCGTGACGCTCGAAAGATTTTCCCAAGTAAGTCCCACCAAGCAAAAAGTGAGCAAAAACAACAGCAGCGCCAACAAGAACATTGACTTTCCTCTGAGTAGTGCTGCCACCAAGTTGCAAATCTTTGTTGCGCTTGTTGCATTAGCACCCGGACCGTTTTGGTATCTTGCTTGGATCTGCCTAGAAAGAGTCGTGGGTACAAGAGGTTGGGTCAAAGGCGAATCAATCAATATCTTCCCTGCTACCATACCACAAGTTGTGAGCAGAGAGCATAAAAAGAAATCGAGCGACAGCCAATAGTACACACCATCTGTTGCATCTACAGTGATCAGAACTCCATTATCAGAACAAGAACAACATGCTGTGCTGTTCGGCTCCCTTTGCGGCGCTCATGCGCCGCAATGTCTTGTACCGACAGCGAAACTTTGTCGCCACTGTAAGCAAGATTCTGTGTGTATACCCATGTGGTTGTTTCTTCCATATCATACTAACCTCTGATTTCCATCATGATGTGTTTTGCAGATTTTGGACTTGGCGTTGCCAATTGGTTTTGCCGCCATTTTGCTGGGCATCAAGGCTGCCTTTGATTCGGGGAGTAGTTCCTTGGAACGAGAACTCATTCCCGCCGTGGTTCGCACCGATAGCGATACCATGAGGATTCTGTCCTTTAGCGACTATGTGACGGCCATTTTGGCCCAGCGAGTGTGTGTGCTAACCACAGTTGAAGAAAGAGACGGCTCGATGAGTGAACCAGTATTCACCATTACGGGAATGCCAGTGGATGGATATGAATGGCAGGTGCCCTTTGTCTGGTGTGATCCTCGACAGTGTACCACGGAGGGTGAAGACGCCTATGACTTTTGTGAATATCCCATTCTGGCAGTGGCTCCTTTGACGGCGAATGATGCCGGTGGCCAAAACCGTTCTCTAGAATTCCAAAAGTATGTCAATGAGCGATTCCCCCAGTTGATGGAGCCCGAACTGACGCATTTTGTTGGAGGCGACGACTACAAGTTTGTGAGAATGTTTGACAGTGACGCTGCCATCAACGAGTATGTGGCAAGTTCGACATATGGCAACACGGGGTCGGAAAAGATTGGATTGGCCGTGGTCTTTGAAGGAAACGACACTGAAAATTACAAATACTCGATCCGTGCCAACTCGACCAACTTTAACTCTCCCGTGGGAGCTTCAGAGCCTGGGGCCAAGACATCACCCGACACCAAAACCAACTTTGCTACCTATGCCAATGAAGATACCGTGTGCGACATTCCGGGACAGGGGAACCCTGATCAGGGCTACTTTCAATTAAGTTGTACGGGTCTCTACATCTACAATGGTTTCCTCACGACCCAGAGATTGGTGCAGGATTGGATCATGGTGGACACGGACTCCAAGGACGCAGGCTTTTTCGTTTCAGAACATGGAGTCAATTGTAAGTTGTTGGACTGAATTGAATGAATGAATGAATGACAAGGATGTGTTTGCTCTTCCTGCATTTGTCTGCTGGGTTTCTAACACGCGTGTTGTTGCTTGTTTCCTATACATAGATGTTCCCTTCCCCAGCCGTGCTTACGAAGAAGATGGAGCCTATGCTGGTACGTAAACTGAGAGGTGGTGCATTGGCGTTGTTGTGGATCGGATAAATCATCTCAACAAACCACCCCGTCTCCTGCAAACGCACGCAAACAACGCAATCTATCAGATCTTGCTGGGTTCATGCCATTGCTGATGACACTCGGCATCCTATATTCGTGTTCCTCAATGGTTTCTTACGTGGTCCAGGAAAAGGAACTACGCCAGAAAGAGCTCCTCAAAATGATGGGAGTCACAGACCTGGAAATTGGCTGGTCGTGGTTCTTGTCATTCTGGATGTTTCATATCATTACAGCCACCTTTGTGACATTGATCTCGGCGTCGTTGTTTCCTGCATCAGACTTTCTTCTCCTCTTTATCTTTTGGCAATTCTGTTTCTTGGGCTTTGTTGTCATGAGTATGATGTGCAGTACCTTCACTGCCAAGACCACACGAGGTGTCCTGATTGCCTTGTTGGTTGTGTTTGCGGGCTTTTTCTTCACGCTGGCCGCAGATGTGGAGACCGGAAGCACAGGCACAATTTCGTTGCTGTCTCTTCACCCCGTGACCGCCATGTCCTATGCTCTCTTGGAAGTGGGAAGACTGGAAAACATTGGAGTCGGGCTAACCACGGACTCCATGGCCACAACCGATGCACCCTCAGGTTGGTTTGGATATATATGTTCTCTGTGGACGTCATTGTGGTGTATGTGTTGAAGAGGCGTGTGCTAACCACCTTTCTCTCGTCATCTCTCTCCAAAGGATACACATTCGTTTCGGCATATGGCAACTTGGTGTTCTCTTGCATTTTTATGGGTATCTTCACTTGGTATTTCAATCGCACCATTGCTCCTGACTATGGACAGGCACTTCCGTTCTATTTCCCCTTTACAACGTCATACTGGTTCCCTAGCAGCGTGAAACACGCCGAAGTCAAAGACAACGACGGAGACGGCGTAGATGATAACACACCGATCGAACCAGTGTCTGATTCGCTCAAACAACAGACCAGAGATGGACAGAGTATAGAGATCAAGAGCTTGAAGAAGGACTTTGGCGAGAAATTGGCGGTCGACGGTCTCAATCTTTCCATGTACAATGGGCACATCACTGCGCTGTTGGGGCACAATGGAGGTAAGGCCCGACATGATTAGTCGTATGTGAACACTTCTTTGCTGACATGAATCTGTGCACTCGATGTTCTTACTATAGCGGGGAAGACCACGACAATAGGAATGCTTACTGGTGCATTGTCACCCACGAGTGGAACTGCCACTATTGCTGGCAAGGACATCAGGACCGAAATGTCTCAGATTCGAGATGACATCGGCATTTGCCTCCAACATGACTGCCTCTTTCCAAAGTTGACAGTCCGAGAGCATGTTCAATTCTTCTCCAGGGTCAAGGGGATCTACGGGAAGATGTCTCATCAGGAAGCCGAGGCCAGTGTTGATCAAGCCATCCGCGATGTAGCCCTGGAAGAGAAGAGCAACACGTTCTCCGCAAATCTCAGTGGTGGTGAGCCTGCTTGATATTCTTTGCTTCCGCAGCCGCTGGTCCGAATGCTCACAGTTCTTGCCACTTCAACAACACAGGGATGAAACGCAAACTCAGTGTTGCAATGGCTTTCTGTGGCGGATCGAAAGTGGTGTACGTGCAATCGGTCCTTGCGATGATCGACTTTTGAGCAGTCGTAATCTCACGCTGTGAATGTCTGCGTCCTTAGGTTTCTGGATGAACCGACAAGGTCAGTGAACTTGATGACTAATGTTACACTTGCAGAAGTCCGCTGCTAACTGGCAAATTTTGGCACAGTGGTATGGATCCATTCTCGAGGAGGTTTTCTTGGAACGTTATCAGGCAGTACAGGAGCGACAGATGTATTATTTTGACTACGTGAGTTTCCCTTGCTGCCAAGCGCTGTTCTGTCTTCTGTGAGCTGGGTGATTTTGCGCTGGCTAATACGTCCTCCTCGAACAGACATTTCATGGACGAGGCTGATATTCTCGGTAAGAACAATAATACACGCATGTGCCTGTGGCCTTTGTTGGCAGCATACTGATCGAGCTGGCCGTTCTTGTATCTTTCAGGCGACCGCATCGCTATCATGTCAGAAGGACGACTTCGCTGCTGTGGAAGCTCCTTGTTCCTGAAAAAGACCTACGGGGTTGGCTATCAGCTCACAATCGAGAAACGATCAAAGTTCAAAAGCGAAACCACTCCTACGCATCAGCTTCCTTTGGCACAACCGCCAATTGTGGAACCGATGGTGATTACTGAAGACGATGAATTCGACCGTGAAATTGACGTGGATGATATGGACGTCTTCAAGAAGAACGAATCAATTGACGTGGGCGATATGGGTGATGTTAAGAAGAACGAATCAATTGATGTTGACGAAGTGGATGGAAAACCTATTGCTGTTGCGACGATTGCTGCGGCCGCCGTGCAAGCGGTTCCTGTAACGGAAGAAGCTATCAAGGATATTGTCGTTGGTGCTGTAGAGGACGCAGCGTTGCTCAGCAATGTCGGCACAGAATTGAGTTTCCAGCTGCCTTTGGGAGCATCTGAGAATTTCGTGCCCATGTTGGAACAGCTTGATAGGCTCGTACAGAACGGCAGCATCAGCACTTACGGAGTCAGCATCACCACACTGGACGAGGTGTTCCAGATCGTTGCAAGGGGGGAAGAAACAGGTAGGTGAAGGAAACCCTCCCACGCTCGTGATGCGCTGTACATGCAATATCATGATGGCAGCATACTGTACCGGTACAGCTCACACCCCGCTTTTCCTGCATCGCTCAGACAAGCACGACTTCAAGAGCTCGCACTTTAGCAGCAAGGACATTGGGGCTGCTGGAGATGAAGATGAGAAGAGTGTTCGTTCGAGAATGGACCTTGAAAACGACGGGTTGTTTGGAACTCACGTGCAAGCACTCATGAGGAAAAGGGCGGCCAATTTCAAGAGAGACAAGAAAGCATGGTGCTGTACCACTATTCTCCCCAGTATGTTTGTCCTGATCGGGCTGCTCGTCTTGAAGTTCGCTGTCCCAGGACGAAACATGGAGCCATTGCTTTTGGATCTGAATGATTACAACAAAGATAGCAGTGCCGACCCGAGAAATCCAATACCCTTCAACGCTCCCGACTCGTTTTTCACTTGCAATCCAGGCAATTGTACAACCCGTTCCAGCACTGTTTATGAGTCAGATGTTACGGGAGAATCATACTCTTTCTGCGGCGGCGAAACACTCGCCAACGAATCCTGTTCCATCAGCGATTCAGAGGAGGTTGTTTCACATATCGACCAGGCTGGTGCGGAGGGTGTTGGCGGAGATGTCGAATCCATATGGGAGGTCAGTGAAGGAAGTTGTTCGGTTTGGATCGTTCCCTGATGAGCAGTATCGCTGCTAACTATCTTTGTCGCATTTCTAGGCTTCGAATTTCACGCTGACTCAAGGTATTTCAGTTCAGGGCGCATCGCAGTACGGGGGTATCTTCATGAATCATGACCCAAGCAGCATCACGCAATCTAATGAATCTTACGGTGCCACCCTGTCCCAAAATTGTTCCAACAACCTTGGCGACTACGTTGAGGAATCGGAATGCGACAACTATGGAACTGGAATTGGTTACACTGTCGCCTACAATTTCACTGCTTTGCATGCCGCGGTAAGTGGTTGCAAAGTCGCCTTCCGAACACCCATGCTGTTGTGAAATATCACGCTCACTACCGACGTCGGCCAGCCCCTTTTTCAAGCCCTTGCAGACGAAGGCATCATACGGAAAGCCCTTGGACGAACCACATTCAAGATTACAACGACGATTGCCCCTTTGCCCATTACCGAGCTCGAAAACACGTTCGAGGAATCTGCAAATGCAACGAACTTGTGGTTCCTTATTGTTCTGTAAGTTGATGTGCTCTCGACCGCGAAGGAATTGCCGTCTTGGTACTTCGCACTGGTTGCTTACTTCCTGTCAATGCCCATTCTCCTACGAATAGGAGCTTCCCTTTCATTCTTGGAGCGTGAGTCCTTCCGATTTTTCAGACAAGAATACGAGTGATGCCCTCTCTAACATGTTCCCTCCTCAGCTTTGCGACTTTCGTAGTGGCGGAAAGAGAGTCCAAAGCGAAACATCTTCAGATCGTCGCTGGTGTCACGCCAGCGTCGTACTGGCTTGCCACCCTACTATGGGACTGGATCAATTATCTCATTCCATTTGGCGTCACAAGTAAGCCTGCTCTTTGCTGCATGTTGTCAAGTCTTGTTCCGTGTTCAATCCTTCGTCTCTTATTCGTCTCTGGCCTCTCGCAGTTGTCCTGCTATTCGCTTTCGACGTATCTTCTCTTACGACGAGCGAAGGAAACATGTTTGCTGGAGTCTTTTTACTTCTCTTGCTCTTTGGCACAGCTGGTGCAGCTTTCTCCTATTGCGTTTCCTTCATGTTCAAGAGCCCGAGCCTGTGCAACATTGCGTTGATCGTGTCGGGCTTTCTCATCGCTATGGGGGCAAGCATGAGTACGTAGCAAGGGATGGAATTCGATTCAAGGGGGGTACAAGAATTGCTTTGAGCTAACTTGCATGTTGCGGTTGCCAGCCTGTTTCATTCTGCGATTGATTGGACAGCAACCCTACGATTATAGGTCTTCGCTGGTGACGGCAGCGCAAGTTGTGGAGTGGATTTTCAGGTTCTTCCCGCCATTCTGTCTTGGAAAGGGCCTCCTTTTTGGCATCTACAGGCAAAGCTTCGAGCTGATCAACGGAAAGCGGCATTCAGCCTTTGACCCTGAGATCATGCTGATCGAGATCATCTTCCTCGCGGTTGAAAGCGTTGTTTATCTCATTGCTGCCATTTACATCGACATTCTTTCGTCCAACCCGGAGTTTATGGGATGGGTTCAGCAAACCCTCTGCTGCCGAAGATCCTCCGAACGCAGCGCCGTGGCGGCCATCCCGGATGATGACGATGTGATTGCCGAGCAGCAGCGCGTTCTGGGTGGTCAAGCGAACGAAGATGCCATTGTAATGAGCGAATTGACGAAGATTTATCCGAATGGAAAAATTGCTGTCAACCAGCTGTCTTTGGGCATTGCGCCAGGGGAATGTTTTGGTTTGTTAGGAATCAATGGCGGTGAGTTTGTACACCTGCTGAAGGATCCATTGTTTGGTGCACTGTGTCCTGACCGCGAATCGCTTCTGATGTGATACCATAGCCGGGAAGACGACTACCATGGGAATGCTGACGGCAGAGTTTCCACCGACTCAAGGTGATGCTACCCTTGCAGGCTTCAGTCTTCGACAGGAACCAGAGAAAACAAGGCGCAGGATCGGCTACTGCCCCCAATTTGATGGTACGCGACATTGAAGTATACTGTGGCTGTCTGCGATGTTGCGTTCTAACGTTCCCGAACTCACTTCTCGTAGCACACTTTGCCAATTTGACTGGTCGCGAACATGTGGAGTTATATGCTAGTATCAAGGTGAGTCCATCTTTTCAAATTCGCTCCATTCTCCTTCTTCGAGCTAGCTGAGTCTAACTTGGTGGAACAGGGAATTCCGAGTGACTCCGTTAGAATCGCTGCGGCTGAAAAACTGAAGCAAGTTGGGTTGAGCGAGACGGACAGTGACCGCTTGAGTTCCAACTACTCGGGAGGAATGAAAAGGCGGCTTTCACTGGCTTGCGCAACGATCGGAAGTCCTCAATTGGTGTAAGTCGCCCGGTCTTGATACTTGTACGCCGATGCTTCAGGAAATGGCTGACCCCAACCTTGCTCTCAGATTTCTCGACGAGTGTTCCACTGGGGTCGACCCGGTCGCGAGGCGCGAAATTTGGCAGCTTGTGTCGGACTTGGTCTCTGCTGAGGTGCCTGAAGGTGGACAGAAGACCAGCGTTATCTTGACCACACATAGCATGGACGAGTGTGAGGTGAGACAACATTAAGACAAGGTCGTCATCCCATGCTGTCTGATTCTGTGGCTAACCATCGCGAGTTCCCCTTGCTGTCTTGTGTAGGCTTTGTGCCCCCGCATTGGTAAGTTGTTGCATTGACTGTACACTTCTGGCGTCGATTGAAGGAATTAAATCGTCCCCACTCATGCCTGTTGCAATCGATTGTTCGAACAAACAGGAATCATGGCAAACGGAAAGCTTCGGTGCCTTGGTTCTGCCCAGCACTTGAAAACAAAGTTTGGAAAGGGTGAGAACGGACGGACGTTGAGCAAAACGGTGTGCGGTGAATTAGCTGCTGTTTTTAACCCTTGCTTGCTGCTCTTGCGAAACAGGATACCAGTTGGAGTTGAAGGTGGCCACAACAAGCAAAGATGACGAGGACTTTCGAGTGCATCTTGTGACTTTGGCTCGTTCAAAGGGGGCAGCCGTTGACCAAGAGCAGGCCAGCGCGGACGATGAAGTGTTCTTCAACTTGCAAGAGGCCGAAACGGCTTTGCAGCAGGTGACAGGTGATGACTACCTGTCGAGCATGCTAAACGAAGCCAACCCAAACGGCTATGGTGTCTTCAAGGTAGGCTTTCTGTTTGCTCGTCCTTCACAATGGTGTATTGTCTTGGAAACTAACTGAATCCTTGTTCGCATCATACCCTTCCACTAAAGGACTGCTCTTCCGCCACTGGAGTCCATTTGAGCGATCTCACTTCGTTTGTAACCAATGAAATTAGAATGCGCGATCTCCACTCGTTCATTGTGGGGGCGTACCCTTCTGCCATTCTTCGTGAGAGGCAAGACATGAAGGCTCGATTCGAGGTCACCTCGGAGGGCATTAGCATTGCCAAAATCTTTCAAAGCATCGAAGAGAACAAGGAGCAAGTGAAGCTTTCTGACTACGGTGTCAGCCAAACTAGTTTGGAGCAAGTCTTCAACATGCACGCCGCCGAGGCGGAAAGGCTTAAGCAAGGAAGGATGGATGGATAATTTGATGGTCTCTCGTGTTCTCCTGAAGAGCGAACCAAGTGATCGTTTTCGATCATGTATGTAGCATAGCTTGCATAAGAAGTGTGCTTGTGATTTGCATGTTGTCTAGTTTTAAGTTTAAAAGTATAAATCCCCGAAGCCACATCTTGTGTTCAGACCAGGAATATGCTACTTACCGGCACCCACTGTCGCAGCCAGACAAGGAACCAAGGAGTTGTGAAAGCATTCAAGTTGGTTAGGATTGCCTTGTAGGGATCATTTACATCATCTGCCATTCTCTTTTGCCACCAACAGGCAGCCCTAATTTTGTAGCAATGATGCCATGACAAATACTGAATACACTCGGGTCTTGACCTTCGCAGGCCTCACTGACTTCGTTCTTTAACAGCATCTGTCTCCTTGTCCACAAGCAAAGCAATCCATGACAGCTTGGATTGTCGGAGTAGGGCAGTCGGTTGGTTCGCGGACATTGAACGTTGACCACAGATGCCACGACCAGCCACACCGGCCAAACAGCGCCCGATGTTGGCCTCTCCCTCCAGTCTTACGCCCACCCAACCACGCTCCTTGCTTGCCCTCCTTGTGTCCAGCGCCCTGTGCCTGGTCTGCCCTCCAACCATCCAAAAATCACCCTCCTTCTCCCGTTCCACTCATTGGCCTTGTTTCCTTTGTACATGTCTTGGCTCCAGGAATTCACCAGGTCCCTACGGCTTCCATCCACCCCAAAGCCATCATTCTCCAAGTACCGTCCTTCTCGGCCATCGGTGCCAGTTCCGTATTGGTACGCTGTACATGTACCGGTAGCGTCATCGCACTCCTATGTCGCACATACCGGTACCTGAACTCCTGTTCCGTTTTGGGTCTCGACAAGAAGATCGCGAGATGCACGACTGACAAAGGGTTAGCAAAGGGTTCATTGCCCGGAAGGAGCTGCGAACGGCGGCAACATGCGGCACTGCGGCACACCTACTAGTACCTTCATTACGAGTATTTCTCTTACGAGTATTCATCCCCTAAAACGAACAAGTATCATCACTCTCGATCCTTCATCCATAGAATCCACCATGGCCGCTCACCAGAAGGGAAATACTGCAGGTGACTCCAAGTCGCAGGAAGAAGCGATGAATGTCATTCGAAAGATGACGAAAGGCAATAATAAACCGGAGGAAGAATGCTGGCTGCAGATCAAAAAGGGGCTCTGGATCACGGATGAAATTTGCGATGCGGTCCAAGAGACCAAGGCGCGCCACAAAAAAGCCACCATCTGTTGTTCGTGTGACGGAAAGATTGGTCGTCTACTAAAAATTTTGTTGAGTGAAGGGTCGGCTTGTTCCTGCTTGACGTTGGACCAGATAACATTATTATGTGGCGACCAAGAACGGAATCAGGGGTTGGTTACTTGGCAAGCCTTGGGGTCTGCCTTGGCGTCATCGAATCTAAAACATCTCACCATCACAAACACGTCGCTGCCTCCACAAGGCATGGCGGCATTGGCCGCCGGATTGGGAGTCTCCTCTACAAGACTTCAGACCCTTACTCTCGCGGATACGCAGTGGGAAGAGGCGGACGACAAAGCCTTGGCGAGTGCTCTATCCCACAATCGGCACTTGCAAACCATCCGCTGGCAAAGATGCGGACTGGAAGATGCCCGATTGGCTCGCCTGGTCCAATCGCTTCGGGATCACCCGTCTCTGTTAGAATTGAGTTTGTCGGGAAACAAATTTGCTCACGAGACCAGTGTCGCCTTGTCGGAGCTGTTGCAGTGTTCCGACCTTCAATCGCTGTGTCTGGACAATCATGCGTATCGACATCGACGCAATAGAGACAAACTGAATATAGAAATGTTGGCATTGGCACTGGGACACAACACAAAGCTGCGCTCTCTAGATTTATCCGACAATCTCCTGGACGATACGGACTTGGACTTGTTGGCACGTGCCATGAGCCACCATTCCTATCTGCAAACGATCATCTTGGCGTACAACAAGATCTCTCATGAAGGCTTTTCCCGTTTCGTCCATCACTGGCTGCCACGCATTCACCATCTCCAGACGTTGGATCTGCGAGGAAACTGGATGGAAGATATTATTATTGGTCCAGCAAAAAGAAGAAATAGTAGCCATCACGAAGCGCAACTTCTCAGGAACCATGCCATCAAAGCCATGGTGGAATTGAAGGATGTCTCATTGATCAAAGCTGTGGCTCTTCCCGAACGAATTTCACCGGGGCTCTGGCATTTGCTCTTGAATCGTCTGCAAAAGATACTACATCAGCAGAACGAAGCGACAACAGGACTTGCCGGCACTACAACTATTGAGGATTTGCTCTATCTCACAATAAGAGGACCCATGGTGTCATCATTGAATCTATGACCTTTGTCTAGCTAGCTAGCTATCGGCAACAGTGAGATCTTGTGCGGCATACTTTGCGGGCAAGTTCTGACCGCAAGGCAACATCATAGAAGATACTATACTCGATGAAATTGTATTCTTGATATGCAATGGCATTGGCCAGCTCTTTTCTCACTTTCTCACGCCCTCAAGAACTGGAAGTGGACTTGAAGCTCTCATGTCATCAAGCCAGCCAGCCAGCAAATGGGCGGCTCCAACGTATGATATGTGCTCGAGTAGTCTGGGTAGTCTACCGTACCGGAGGGAGAATTCGTATTTCTTCTTTTGTTGGAGTTGTTGCTGTTGATCAACTCATCAGTGGCCTCGACGACCGCGATGTTGCTTGGCAGAGCAATGCTGGCTAACCTAGACACTCTAGCTACCTGGCTAACCTAGACACTCTAGCTACCGGGAGGCATCAGAAGACCAAAGCAAATCCAATTTTTGTGAGTCCACAGGGCAGGGCATGATGAATGATTCAATCAACTAGCTAGCCACTATTAGTATCTACCATACTAGTAGCCAGAATAGTAGCAGAGACTACCACTTGTGACGTTTTTTAAACGACGGCCAGTTGCCCGCACTGGTGAAATAAATGGTCCTTGGGTCTTCCAGTGCCGATGACCCTTTCGGGTCCGCATCTATTATTAATTGCTCAGCCGCAACAACTGGCCCACCGGTACCAGTACCGATGGAAAACACCCCCAGCCAGCAACAGTGCCATGGCAGACTTTCCAAAAACTTGCTCAGCTCCAAAGAACTTCTCTCCTGAACTTATTGCTCAGCTCCGCCAACCCGATTGGGGTTCCTTATTGAAGAGCTTGTCTCTTTCGGCCGGTGGTCAGCTTGAAGCCTAGCTAGCGTCTTCATAATCCGCACATCAATTGAGTATTAGGAACAAAGCCCCACTCAACCTCCTGATCACGACAAGAATGTCCAGTGCAAGTAGTATTCCCGAAGAAATCAATGAGTTCTTCACCAAGGCAACGCCCTTGTGGAAAGTGAGTGGAGACGATTATGATGGAGGTCCAAAAGGTTTTCTTGATTCCTTACGCAAATACCACAAAGACCATCCCGAAGTGGATTACTTTGCACTATTGGAATCCACCCTACCGGAAGTTCCGGAATCCCTCAATCGGTTTGGTGAGGGTCACTTTGACTTTACCGACGTGAATATGGATGAAACTATGAAGGTTTACTCGAAGGCCTTGAAGTTTCTAACATCATCTCAGGAAGAGTTATCCACTCGAGTTGTGGATCTTCTTGTCAACCGCAAACTCATTTCAGATGTCACCCCTCTTCGTGGGAAAGACCCAGAATCCATAATGGCACACTTTTCTTCCATTCTTCAAGAGGACCCGCCAGAGCAACAAGCCTATCGATACATTCAAAACAAACATTTTCTGGCTATTGTGGCCCTTTACATCTTGGCATTGACCTTTCCCGACGAAAAATCTTTGCCAAAGGTCGTCCAAGGCATATTTGAACGGCTCAAGAAATCCAGCGACCCGCAGAGCTTGGACAATGAAAACTATGGTGGAGAATGCGACGACTTTTTTGAAGACATGTCATGCTTTAACCGGCTTCACGGCAACTTGTGCGATCTGACAGCTCTTGCCCAAAGTAACTCAGAAAAACAAGGTTCTGATTCTTCCAGTCCCAGTAGCCCAGTGGAGCAACTTGTGGACTGGACCATTCTAGTGGCGGACAACTCCTACTATGAGAATCGAAACAATTTGGTCTACGATCTTTACGACACTACCTATGACCATGTTGCAGAGCTGGATCCCGTCTTGACGGTTCGAAAGGCTCATGATTGGATGTGTTGGTTAAACACTAGAGAGACTGTTTGGCCATGGTGGAGCTATTTTAAAAGTCAGTCTAAAAAGAAAAGTGAGGAATCGCTTTTGGTGGTCCAGTCGATTTCGAATTTCAGTCCCGGATACTCATGACTCAACACACTCCTGCCTCCATCCCTAAAAATCGGATGGAGGAGCATATCCCATAATCTGATCACGGAATTTCTTGAAGGCGGCTCCTTGCAATGGCTTCGACATAAAATCTCCTATCATTTTGTCCGTAGGACAATACTCGACACAAGATTACCCTGTTGTATCTGGTCGGTAAGGAAAAAATAACGAATATTCAAAGCTCGCGTGATATGTAGAACTGTCACACTATGATCAGGATCAGTGAATTCTGTCTTCTCTCTCCCTGAGATTATCGCGGCGATGTGCGCGAGTGTGTGTAATACACGTGCTACTCTCGTACGGTGATTAACATCTGAAGCCTGCTTGCCATCCACTGTAACACAGAAAGGCCCCTCAGACGTGCTCCACATCTCTCTCTCTTTT